ACCCCCAGGGGTCCTCTGCTAGAACACGAGCGCTCAGCAGTGCGGATTTCGCTGGCTCCAGCTCCGTTTCAATTGGATTAGTGGTGGGCCTTTGATGTTAGGAGAAAACATTACTTGATGCTGGTGCCTGTAGCACAGATCTTCACTGCATTTTGATTTTTTTCCCCCCTTTTGTTATTACTATCATTTTTAATAGTTGCATTTCCTTTGAATATTTGCATCGAGGTTATCTGTGACATTGCAGCTAGCGCCAGGGCCGAACGCTGGGGYTGAGTTAGTGAAAAATAAGATTAATTAGAGCAAGAGGAGAGTGTGTCGGAGGCGAGAGAACTGCACTGAGCACCGGCTGCAGTGCAAGCTTGCAGATGGCAGGAGTGTTTGCAGGTGGGGGAAGAGCTGAAGGAAAATCCAAGCGGGCTCCTTTTCCTGCAGCACTGACTAGCAGGCTGCTGTCGCTCCCGGAGGTCAAGGAATCTGCTGGAGAAGATTTCATTTATGTTTTAATTAAAAACTAGAGCAGCAGCTTCTGGAGATGAAAGAGAAGTCCCAGCTGAGCCAAGCAGTTAACTGTATTTGTATTTCATCACACAAGTCTCCACTCAGCAGCCCGTGTGTTTGAAGTTGAGCACGTGCTCAGGTGTTTCGCTGTGACCTTCCAGTGCCACACTGCGTTTCTGTGTAGTGGTGAAGGGCCCCAGCAAATCCTTCCTGCGTGTCCTGGAAGTCCAAAGCTTTGAAAAAGCAGCGGTGAGAACAAACAACCGCAGACTTTATCCCTCATAAATGGATTTGTGACTGCAACGCTGCGATCTCGGGGACGATTTCTAGCATTGGGGAAGCAATGAGTTCACAGAGCGTTCAGCGAGCAAAACCCTGGCTGCAGAATTAACCCTGTCTTTCAGCCAGCCTCCATCCCCGGCCCGAACCCAGCGTCAGATCTCGGCATGGACGAGGGCCGGAGCGTCTGCGGCGGAGGATTTTTGTGGAGCTCTGTCAGGACGGAKCAGTCTCGGCTTCGCAGCCGGCCGAGCTGCCGTTCAGACACTGCCATATTGACCGCGGCAGCRGTGCTGGAAGCTGGGAGGACTCCGAGGCTGCACGGAGCAGCTCCGTGTCAAGTCCAATCCTTTCTGCTTCCCTGCCTTGCACGTACCAGCGTCCTCCCCGAACGATGCGTGGAGGCACCCACGTGCTTCTTCACTTGGAACTGCTCCTGGACAGGAGAGCACAACTCCTAAGAGAATAATTATGAGATTATAACAACGTGCATTAAAGGGGAARCTGTTTCCCTGCGTTCCTGCTTGCACTCTGCCCTCTCCCACGTTGCTTAGCTGATGTTTTTATCCTGCCTGCCTGTAGGGTTTGACGGGAGAGCTGGGATCACCCAGGCTGGGGCCAGGAGGCATCTAACAGTTGGAGGCATCTGTTCTGCTGCAGCAGTCACAACACCCGAGAGCTGCAAACATGCCCAGGAGACACTTTTATCATTGATGGGGGGAGAATTTAAATAGCTGCCGTTCTCTTAAGCTAAACCAGAGACCGAATCGTGGATCACGTTTTATGTAACTCGTTTTTATTTTTGAACATGGTCTTTTATTTTCACGGGGAATTCAACTCAGTGGGTGTCTCCTAGCTCCTGCCCTGTCTCATTAGCACATGAGATGAGGCTTCTTTTATCATACCTCCCAACCAGCTGCATGATTTCCTCACTACCCCGAAACTCCAGCTCTCCTTGTTTCACCTCTCAGGACTTGCTGTGTACCTGAGAAAGGAAAGAGTCTGAGGTACAAGGCGAATAAAAGCCTCAACTCCTTTAAAAAGAGGGGGGGAAAAAAAAAAGTTTTGTGCTGCATTTGTGGGTGTTTAGTGGTGGCCCTGGAGCTCATTTTTAATAACGGGAGCTGTTTTCGTGGCTCTGTGTTTCATGGAGAGACACTCTAATTTGTTTTGCAGTGTAGGAACCCATCAGTGTTCCTTGTGCTGGACCAACCTTGTGCTGGACCAAGTGTATTTTACAGCAGACCCTCGCACGGACAGGCAGCCTGACACGGCGACCRGGACGCTGGATATTTGTTATCCACTAGTCACAACACTTTTATCTCTAACCATTTTCTTTCAAGCAGTAGTGGAGAAAAGCAAGGTCCRAAGACAAATTGATTACTAGTTTGAATAACCTTGGTCTTATGCATATATATGTTTATAAAGTCCAGCTTCTGGATAAATTCTCAGTGACAGTGTCAGGAGAACCAAAGGATGCTTTGGTTCAACAAAACAATGGAGTCCTGCAGAGGCRAGCAGAGCCTCAAGGAAGCAAAAGCAAGAGGCAGAAGATGGAGGGAAGTCTGCTTAAATGCTAAGGAGATGGAGATGATCTAAGGTAGCCACTGAGATATCAGAGATATCAGCCAAGAGATGAACTAGTTGGTGAAAACTCTCTCTGATGCGCAAGCTGGCTAAAGTGGGGTCTACTGTTGTCTTCAAGAAGGGTGGTCAGATATCAGCTGTAGGAGGAGCGTCTCCTTTGCTTTAGGTGCAAGGGGCCAGGATTGCCTTTCCTCAATTTTTATCCAGCAGTTTGGTAGTGGTAACTGGGACCTAGTGAAGCCAATTATGATGATTTGTCTGGAAGAATTTTTCAGATAAAAAACACTTGAATGACAGTACAAAATGAATGGAGTAGGCAGGAAAGCAGGGAAAATAATAGGGTGAGGGTGGTAGAGATAAAATAAATGTCCAGGCTGGCAAATTCCCTTCCAGGCTGTCCAGCCACAGCCGGCGATCCCAATGCTGTGCATATTCACTGCCTGTGCGTTTGCTATTCATRGGTCATGAGGAAATTGCTTTTAAGTATTTCTTAAAGAGATTTAAAATGTTGGGTGAGATCCAAACCTAATATCAAAATGGGTTATTTTATTAAATGCTTTTAAACAGAAATATAGAGTAGTCAGAAACATGAGGGTCTTTTTAGAAGGAATTTGCTATAAACCTCTTCTCCTACCTCAAAAGCTTTCTAAAATATTACCCTCTAAAACATAATTCTCTTTATCTGCAATTTAATTACATTTCTCCTAGTGCCCGTGTCAACACAATGTGCTTGCTTTGTTCCCAATTAGCTGAAACCTGACCAGGGAAAGTAAAAGAAGGAAATAATAATTTTCAGAGTCACTGTGGGCTGCTCCACAACCATTTTCTCACCCCAAGAAATGAGTGTACTAATTATTGGAGTAACAGGGACTGGAGTTTCCACCCAAATTAGTGATGACAATGAATTAGCAATGTATAAAACTGGGGTAAAAGCAGGAGAGATAGTGCTTATGTGCTTATTTTTTAAATGTTATTTATGCCGTCCAGAGTTAGAGATTTTGATTTCTTTCAGACTGAAACAAAGTCCAGTCAGACAAAAAAAATGACATATTAGAAGCTAAGCCCTCAATATCATTCTATTGAATTTGTCTTGGGGCAAGGGCTGAAGTTGACTGTTATTTAACTTGAACAAATTAGCCTGTTGTACCAGAGGCGTAAGATGAACCTCACTCTTTGACCTGGCCTTGGAGGGGGCTGTATCAGCCCTTGCTTTTCTTCAGTGCTCATCTTCTGACTACCAGAGATGCGATTAGTCCGAGCCAGGATGACCTGGGGGTTGTGATGGCAGAAGGAGAGCAAGGCAGGTAACTAGGTTGTGCAGGGCAGGAGAGGAGCCAGGCTGAAGAGCAGGGTCATTCCCTCGTGCAACCAATTTTGGTGTTTTATTGTTTTCTGTAGGGTTGGCTTTCCGCAGGGACCTTKCCAGATGATATTGTGCTTTCTCAAGGCACACTCCTCCTGAGTGGCACAGGGATAGCACCAGGCCTGCTGGAGTGAGAGAGAGACAGGTTGACTCCCGGCTTTGAGAAAACAGATGGGGAAAGAGGTGATAGAGAAATGATTTTTTAACTGCAAAAGACTTTTTTAACCTATTGTGGAGATCAGAGTTAAGCTACAGCGGGAGCTTGGAGGAAATGGGAGGCTTTGCAGGAGGGTCGTTGTGGCAAAAGGGTCACCAGCCCTCACCTGTAGCTGGGACACAGAGGTCCCCTGTCACATCTGGTGCCCAGCCAGGTGGGTCCTGGCTCCTGAGAGCAGTGATGGAGATCCCATGGCGTGGACCCTTAGCCACCTTCCAAGTCCCTGGTGCTTCTCTAGCCCCCAGTGAAATCCTTTGGTCACGCTGTGGATGGATGAGCCAAGGCCCAACTGCAGCCCTGCCATGGACGGGGGRTACACGGGAAGCCCCCCTGCATATTCTGCCAGTCCAGGAGAGAGGTCTGGGGCTGGAGAGGGAAGGGGATTGGAGCCTGTATTGCAGGTGAGCAAGCTAGGGATGGCTGCAGGGAGCTGCTGGGGGCAGGGAGCAAGCAGGGCTGCAAACAGCACGCGAGAGGCGGGCGGAAGGGGTCACTTGCTGTCCCGAACTCGCCAGGTGGAATTTTCTTTTATCCCATGTGCTGCAATGAGGTGCCTCCCTTGGCTGCTAATGGTTTTGTTTGGCCCTGCTGTCTCTGGGGCTCTTTAATGCAACGCCCCAGTCCTTTCCGCAACTCTCGATGATCTGTGATTTGAGGGCTGGAGCCTTCCTTAAACCTCAGAGGAGCTGATTAAAACGATGCAGGCTGCTGCTTTATTCCTGCATACCGAGAGCGCCGACAGCGAGAGCTTTTCCCGGCATCTCCCCCTCGCCCGCTCCTCGGCAGCCGCTGCCCGTGCGGAACCGGAGCCCATCCGGAGCGGGCAGAGCCGGGGCAGGATCCGCGAGCAGGTTTGCCCGGAGGTGGGTGCGGAGGGATGCAGCGATCAGGTGGGATCCCCGGGAGCCCAGCCCGCCGCGCGGGAGAGCGCTCGCTGGACGTGCCCGCGGAGAGGGGGGGACGGGAGGTGCGCTGAAGTGCCGCTCGCGCCCCGAGCCGGGGGTTGGCCCTCAGGAGGCTCTTCTGCTCTCGCCCCCAGAGCCTGCCCGGCTGCACTGCTGGCCAGGACGCGCCGGGAGAGAGGACAGGTCAAAGGCAGTGAGTATCTTCCCTCTGYGCGTGTCTGTCTGTCTGCAGTGCCTCTGCGTTCGGTTTATCTGCCTTTACTGCGTGCGAGTGGATGGTCTTTATCTCTTGAAGCCGCTTAGGTCTCCTGGGTTTTATACCGCTATTTTTTTTTTCTCTTGGGATGGCTGCTTTATCGTCGCTCAGGTGATTTCCTGGGGTGGTCGGAGAAGCTGAATGTCATAAGTGAAACATCCCCCTCCCTTTCCTTCTCCCAGGGAGAAATCCCCGAACACATCCATGATGAGACTGGCAATTCTCCTTGACTGGGGCCCTTTCTTTCGAGCAGGGAGGCAAGATGAAGGGTGAAGCAAAGCCCTCACTGCAGACCCTTGCTGAAATGCCTCTATTTTGCCATTATTATTATACCTTTTATTTTTGAAGTCGTAAGGGACTGGCTGTATTTGCAGCCCAAGGGTCACAGTGGGYAGACGAGCCCGCTGCTGTGTTTGCACCCACAAAGTTGGACGGACTTTGGGACCAGGGAGAAGTTCAGCGTTGCTCAAACGTACAGGGTTTTGTTGGGAGCAGCTGAGCAGTGAGGGGGTTCGTGACAGTTCCTGGAAGAGCAGCTGCTAGAGGGGACCACGAGGGCCCGGGAGCCCAGCAGGCACCTGGATCCGCTTCCCACGGGCAGGGTGGCGATGGGAAAGTGGAGCTGGGGGCTGCTGGGCTCCAGGAGATGGTGTGCTGTGGCCTTGCATGTGGTGGGGTTGTTAATGAGGAAATTTAAAGGGGCTTAAGGAATTACAAGGATTGATTTCAGTTAAAGCACAGCAAAGCAGCCGGTCAGGGTGGGGATTAGGGAAATGCACTCACTGGCAAGTAGTGCAATCCAGGGCCCATTAATTTAGTTGGGAAGAGGCTTTGTGCGTTTTTARTGTAATCAGGTTTTAAAACGGATGCCCCGTTGGGCAGCCCAAGCCTCGGGACCTTCCCAGGCCCAAGGAGAACCGCAAAGGTGACCTGACTTCCCTGCACATGGTCTCCTCTTGTGCCTGTTCCTTTGCCTCCTCTTCAGCCTTTCCTCTGGGCAAGAGGACATGGAGGTTGTCTGGAACGTACCTCTGTGCTGACAAGTAGGAAACGTTTGTGCTGTGGGCGCTATCCAAACGTCTCGGTCCTGCTCTTTGTCCCGTCGGCCTCCTGGCTAGCGGCCTTCGCCTTCGTTCTCCGATGTGAGATTAGTTCAACCAGCTGGCTGTGTGCCAAGGCCTTTGGGGACACCGACACCCCTTCTTCCTTTCCTCCACGCTTCCAGACAGTAAATCTCCTCTCTGGCTCCCCACAGACTCCCACCACCCAGAAGGAGAGGAAATGCTTTATTTATTTAAGTTATTTTGTGCGTGTGTGTGAGTGTTTGAGCCTGTAATGGTGAAAAGGACCGTCATCTGCAGACGCGTGAAGTCCTCCTGTTATTTTATTTGCAGTGCCAGCTTTTCCATGAGGCCTGGCCAGTAACATCAGCCATGACGTGGAGGGACAGGGACGAGAGGTAGTTTGGTCTTCTTAGCGAGGGCAGTCCGGAGCTTTGCCTCTTGAGGAGAGACCCGYAGAGGTGTTGGATGATGAGTACGATAATGTCAACTCCTGCTGCTCTCTGGTGAACCGTGACGCCCAAGTCAGATCACTTTAGACCTGCAGCTGGACTTAACTCACAGTCCTGGTCTTACAAGGAAATGCTCTCTCTCCTGTATGATCATCCCTCAACTTTGTACGCCTTCTGTTGAAAAAACGACCTTCTGCTCTAGGAGGAAAGGATCAAATGGGTTGAGAACAACTGGCCCTTCTTTTTTACAGAGGATTCTTTGATGTGTTTTTAAGTGCCGGGACATGAAACTGTAAACCCCTCCTTCCTGCACTCCTACCTTCTGCAAACAGCCCGGACTGCTGTCCAAGCCAGCCAGTTAAAGGGTTAACCATAACTGGATGCCTCAATGGCTGCCTTACTGATCCCGCGGAGGTAACTGAAAAGACATGATGCATTCCTCACCCCTGCCCATCCTGTTGTCATCTACCTTGTCCAGYGAGCCTTTTAGCTCGCTGCAGTGTCCTCCCTTCCCTCCCGCCCTTTCCTTGCCTCTCCACCTCCTGCAGACCCGGTTTCTTTTCCTTTCCTTCTCCCGTGTCCTGTCTTGGAAGTCACGACCTGGAGATCCGTGTTCCGTGAGAGACGAGCTCCTTTCTCATGCCGCAGCATCTCTGTCTCCCATAGCCTGCGATTCCCTGCTGCGCTCCCTTGATCTCAGGCATCAGAGAGAAATCTGAGCAGCACTGCGGTAATGCATGTCACACCTCTCGCTGAGAAATTTGTGAGCTTTCTTGCTGAGAAATTTGGGTGAACAAACGGTGCAGGGAGGATTAAGGGCTGGGGACACCAGGAAAGGTACCAGGAGGATCATGTAGTGCGAGGGTTGGAGTGGAGCAGACCCCGCTGGGAAGACAGCACTCTGCATGCAGTGTTCTGCACTGGTGTTTGAAGTTTATGTAGCGTTTCATGCAGAGACGGTCACGGCTCTGTGTTTTGAGGCTGTCCGACACTTTGTGTGACTAAAGATTTCAAGGTTTTGTGCCTTTTAAATGCTGTGAGCTTTCAGCACTGTACCAGGGAGACACTCATTGCATTTAATTAACATTCAATTTGCTCTAAGATTGCATGAAAATGTGCAATAATAGAAATTATCCGAAGGGGCGGGAGGAGAAGGGGGAAACAGGCGTGCCACAGATTGGCTCGGTGATTAGCACTGAAGTGTTCTGCAAGGATTAGATATGGAAAGGAAAAAAAACTCTGCTTCCCTCTGCAGTCACAGAAAGTGTTTGCTGTCTGTTTGGCACATAGGGATCAGCGAAGGGCTTCCTCCCGCTCACAAGTGGGCTCAGCAGTTGAAAAGTGCAGACGTGGTTATTAAACTCTCCTCCCATGGGCAGCAGAGTGTGGCCCTGTTCAGTGTTGGGGGCAGTTTAGTAGAAATGATGCCTTTAGGCTGGAGAGGACAGACCATGCCCTTCTTGCAGACACTATTTAAAGCCCTTAGCCAGCATCTGTGTGTTTTTGAGAGGAGGTCAGTCTAATGCATGTGTGTGTTACATTTCCCTCTTCTTTTGTGTTTCCTCTCTTTCCGAATCCTCCCAGCCTGACCGTTATGTAACGAGTGATGCTGTGGATGTGTTGTCCGTCCCAGGAAGGGGCTGGCAAGGACGTGCGGGGCCTGCAGAGGAGCAGAGGCTCTGGGACTGGTTTAAAATTTAGAGGAAAAAGAAATGAAGCCATTTTCTGCATGGGTAAACCTGTCATGGAAGAGACAATTCTGGTCTGCTTATGTAACCCTGAGCCTACAGAACCTGTCCAGGATCCCAGCTGGGCTCTCAGGGCTCTGTAGCTCAGGCTCTCATGTGCCGGTGCCTTGCTCCCTCTCCTCTTCCTCCAGCCCCTTCCTGTTCTCATGCACTGGTGTTTGTGCAGTTCTGGTGCTCCTGGATCACGGTGACTGATTTCTGGTATTTGCGGCCCTTTGCTATCCTCACAGCCCTCCCCAGAGCAGAGCTTTCCAAGAAACCAGCCCAAAGAGCAGCCGTGCCAATCTTGTCACTGGTTGGGCCACTTGAACGGCTGGTCTGGAGGAGCTTTTAGCTGCTCTGGGACTGTGTCTGCCCTCGGTGTCTATTTGGCCTCAGAGAGGTTTTAGGGTCCCCACCGGAGACCCAGGCTAGGTTAACTGCAGAGCCACCAGGGTCTGTTTTTTGTGACTCTGTCTAGATTTGTAATGATCATCTTCTTTGGTTTTCCCCTGCTCACACCCCTGCTCCCCCACATCGACCACAGGAACAGAGGGATGAGGACTCGCCTGGGCTGCCTGTCTCACAAATCAGACTCATATAATGATTTCACAGCTATTCTTCCGGACAAGCCCAACCGGGCTTTGAAGTGAGTATAGCTGCAGCATCCCACCCCATCTCTGTTTCTCTCCTTCACCTCCCACCTTCCTCCTCTACTTCTGTTACTTTGCATTTATTGTGCTTTGCATAGGCTTTGAAACCCAGTTCCCGTAGCCACGAGGAAGGAGAAAAACACAACAAAATGGATACAGCAGCATCTCTGTTTAGAAAGCACCCAGATTATTGATGTTATTTCATCCCGGAGACAAGGCTGTCTTCACTGCAGCACGCAGGGTGTCTGCACGTCTTTGAGGACAGTTATGCCTCTGTAACAGCAAATTAAAGTCTAAGCAACTCACTCTGTGCAAGAGGTGACCAGCATAAATTTCAGGTCATTGCCCTCCTTAGCCAAGTTTTTATTAGGTGCTACCAATATGTCCTGTATTCATTCACACATCGCTTAGGGAAGATACTTTCCAGAGTACTGATTTAAGAGGAAGTTTTGGATTCATTGATCACAAATTCAATGAAGCTGCTTTCATCTGAGCTCAACATCTAAACTTCCCCTTAAAGTCGAGAAATGGACACTTCTGCAGGGGTGGGTTTCATTTCACTTAACTTTTGACCTCTACAGTGTAAGTGTCTGTGTCTGAACTCATTCCCTGGGATGCTGTTTAGAATCAGTGAAGAAGAATTGGCCCCTCTTAAAGTGATTCATCTGGCCTATTTTATCCACCTACTCGAAGATGTGGTGAACCCTCCTCCTCACTGACTCTAAAAGAACCCCAGGGTGACATGTTTGCCTGGAGACCTCTACACCATAGACATCCAAGTTAGGTGAAAAGGATCCCAGTTTTGGTATCCCTGTGAAACAGCCCCAGAGAGAACTGACCGCTGTGGGAAGTCTTCAATTTGTGTCTTCCTTTCTTTCAGAAGACTATCAACAGAAGAGGCTACAAGATGGGCGGATTCCTTTGATGTCCTTTTGTCCCACAAATGTGAGTAGAGAGCAAATCCTACCTTTTGTTTTCCACAGCCCAAATACCGAGTGACTGCAGGGCAAGCAGACACGTCCCTTGGGACCCTCTGTCATCGCTGACTTCCCACTAGGCAGTGGTCAGTCCTTTGCAAGAAGATGTCCTGTGGTTAGAAGGTGAAGGAGAGCTTCTATGGCAGGCACTGCACTTGCTAAATCACCTTGTTTCTCAAGCCCTCTCCCTCCAGCTGCTCTTCTGGGTCGCTGTGCAACTGTTCACTGCTGCAGGGCAAGAGTCGACTGTAGGAAGCAGAGGAGAGTTTTCCCTGGGACACCCTCCATGGCACTCGTCATCCACTGACATTAAACTGATGGCCATTAGTATTTTACCTTTGCATTTGGAAAGGCTAAGCAAATTAAAAAAAAAAAAATCAAGCCAGTGCTGCAGCTGAAATTCTTAAAACCATCTAGTGAACCTGTCAGGCTGTTACTGTTAATTTTACTGGAAATCTAGTAGATAGTTCARTAACCTTGAGCAACTTGGTCTGTAGCAGTCCTCACCAGAGAAACAACACATGGTAGCACCCAGCAGGATATAATTTGCAGTTACCAATGCAAACCTGAAAGTTTCACATCCAGAAACCTAATGCAAACATATAATCAACACACTTTATTCCACTCAGTGCATCAGTTCTGTTAGAAAGTAGGATTTTGCTTTGCTAACATATTAATGCTGACAAAATATAAACAAGATAGCAAAGTTCACAGTGTAGATTCATTAATATATTCCTGGTAGAGAATAAAACAGGAGCGAGTCGAGGCTGGGGAGATGTCAGTGTGGGTGGTGAACTATTTTATTGCAATAAGGAACTGACTGACTTTTTTACCATTTTTTTCCTGCACTTATTTTAAAGTATAAGTGTTGAATTATATTAGTATTATTATTTTAAATAAAATGTAATTTTCCTGGATTTTTACTGAAACGACAGCAGTTTTGGCAGGAATTAACTGCCAACTTTAAACAGACTGGCTGTCCTAGGCTGAAAAAGCAGGATATAATTTTAGCTGCAGTATTTTGTTGAATTCATTGCTCTCACAGCCAGTATCTTCCTTCCTTTTTTTTTTTTTTTTTTTTTTTTCTTCAGGGTACAGTTGAGAAGGAGCATTTATTTTTTCAAAATTCAAAACAAGAAGGAAAAATGCACCAAAGTCACTAGGGTGCCTGGGGGGTGAGAAGTGACCCACCTCAGTCTTACAGTTCTCCCTCTAAACTTGAGCCTCTATTCCTCCACAGCACAAAAGTCAGTATTTTCCTTGTTTGTGACAGCAAAAGAGCTTCAGTGTTAAAAGCCAGGGAAGTTGTACAGCTAGATACTGAAACCATGCAGGTTGTTCCTCTCAGCTGACTGCTGTGAGTGATGTATCAAACCTTAGTGCAGTCACTTCACCCAACAGCCACCACCAGAATATTTGCTTTATTAGTAAATTAGCCTTAGAGAGTGATAGATGAATATCAATATTTTTTCTTGTCTCCAGAAAGCGAAGTAATTCTGATAACTCTGTGGCATCTGATGAAGAATACTTAGTTCCTAATAGCAACAGGGATGATTTTTAAAATTTAAATTAATCTTTTTTTAACGGCAGTCATGGTGATGGTAGCTGGTGATCCGTGGAAAAGCTTGTTGTTTAGCAAACTGCTTTCTACAGGAACACATCACATCTCCTCTGCACCTGAAGCTTCTGGAATTGCTGGGTTGACAGCCAAAGCCTGCATTTGGTAGTCGTGATGCACACGCAAACAGCTCTGTTCAAACAGATGATGTTATTTTAGTTAATTGGTTTAGAGGACATAAGAGGCTATATGTACATAAAAGGAATTACCTTGTAAAATTATCATATTATGTATACTTGCAATCCAAAGGCTGAGGAAGTGGCAAATCCCTGTTACATACCTAGGACAGGATAGGACGCTATCAGTGTAGTTTCTCTGTGACTGCACAGGTGAACAATATTAGCCAGGGAACACTGCAGTTCATGCTTGGGGGCACATGCTGAGCACCAGCTGGGCTTGGGGAGAATTTCCCCTGCGGCTGATCACATTAGCAGGTAGAAGTGTTGCTGTTTGACACATCTGTCATAAACTCCTTCTTCACTAGATGGACAGTTTTCATCTGTTTTGGAAGGCAGATTCCCAGTCTATGCTGCTATGCTGATTWCAGGGAGTTAAGAGTGTGGCACAGTCTGTCATCACTTTTCATTACTCTCTTTTTTTTCTCCATGAATCCATTATTTGGGGAAAAAAACAAAGTACAYAGGTAGGATTTGGGAGCTGGCTGTGGCAGCTGAAAATGAGGCAGTTGTGGTGGGGAGTAGTGCAAGGCATCAGACAGATGCAAAAAGAGAGCCCCAAGGAACAAAAACGTGGATGAGAGCTCCCGCAAAGACACTCCGTAGTGGCAATGTGTGCAGGCACAGAGGCTCATGCCGCTGCAGTGCTTTTTGAGAAAATCAAGCAACTTTTATTCTTCCAGTTCTTATTTTCATGAGTTTCCAAGACAACGCAAAAATGGACGTGATCTGATCAGATACTATACATTGTACCTATGCCATGGGGAGCATTAACTTGTTCATTTCTGTTAAATAAGTGCTGAAGTGTGGTGGCCCTGTGATCCTATTGCTCTAATGATGAGCACTATAGTAAGGTTTGATCCCAGCGTGCTGCTTTCTGGCAGCATCTTGAGAGGAGTAGTGAAAAACTCTGGGTTTTGAAGCAGCCTCAGAGATTATTAGGCTGGGCGGTACTTTGTGTGAAGAGTGGTCTAATTCAAGCTTTTTAGTATCCAGTTAATTGTCCTGTAGAGCAGACACCGTTCTTTCTTACCAGCACTGTGATTTCAGCATCCCTCAGTCTAGCCCACTAGAGTAATCCTGGGAGGCTGTGGTTCAGCTCAGCTTCATTGAGAGCCTCGGATTSGCAAGTCAATGCCAGGAGAACTTCTTTGCTTTTGCTAATAGAAGAAGCAAACCAACTTGAAGGGTCAGTTCTGCAGCAGGACCTTTGCCAGAGCTGCTTGTGAGAGGCACACCTCGGTGCAGCAATATTGCCTTGGGCCAGGACTTCCAAACRTGGTAGGCAGCAGGAGAAAGGAGTTTGATCCTACTTCACAGCMGGGGATGGAGAAAGCAAGAGGCAGAATTGTGTGTAGCATATTTTGCTGGGTGCTCAGGGAGCAAAAGTGGTGATTTTGACCTGCTAGCTTTTGGAATCCTTTCTGACTTTTTTTTTGCCAGTGCAGATTAGCAGTGGCTTCCAGGGCGCTGGAGCCCCATGTGCTCTGCAGTGTGTGTGCACATGCATGTGAGAAACAGAGGAGTAATCCCCCTTCTCTACCCGTGCCCAGGAGGGGCAGTCTGGTCAGCCAGATGGAGATGCCTTTTGACAGGTTGCTAGAGGGAAATACAGGCAATGGCATGTCTCGTTGTGCATCCCTCGCGGGGCTGGACACATGGCTTGTCATTTGTCCAGAATCCAGCAGGACAGTCTGTCCTCAGCCCTTAGTTTTCAGTGAAGCATCCGATGCAGAAAACCTTTGCACTGGATCTCTGYTTCCATCTCAAGGGCTAGTTTTCCTCTCCGCTGTCTTTTGCACTCRCTGGACTCTTCTGCCCAAATTTTATTGTCCTCCTCTCTGTTGCCTACACACTGCTGCTCTGCCCACACAGCACAGGAATATCCCATCCTACCCCCAATTCTTTCCAAGCCAGAACAGCATTAGCATTAGCATTGTGCTAGTGACAGGCAGCTAGCACTCACCGAAGCAACGCTAAGCAGCAGCGAGGGCTTGTGCAGAGAACTGGGACCTTGTCTCTTCAGTTTTGAACCCAACATGCTCTCTACAGCTGATCCATTCATCTACCAGCCCTAAGGAGTCTGTATTTCCTCCATCAAGTGCTGATTGCCCTGATAGCATGAAATGTATATATTAAATAAATGTTTGTTCGTAGTTTTCTCATTCTGGTATTGGCTAGGTGCTTGGTTATTAAACTGTCTGCCTGAATGATTTAGCTAATCTCAACCCTTCCTTGTTTTGCTAAGGTCTGTCTTAGTTAAAATCTGTCGYGCTTGCCAGTTAAGTCCCTTCTTCCCCAGCCTTTCTTGCTGCAAAGGGTCAACTCTTCCTGGCCCAGATGACAACACTTGAACCGGATGTCAGGAGCATCTGAATGTTGATCGTTATGTAGTCACTTATCTGCTTGACAGTTTAGAAAACACAAATTCTACTATTTGTCTTATTCACAGGTGAGGTGTAGGGTTGTATGTGTACAGCACACTGGGATGGGGTTATCTAGAAATGCTTGTATAATCCTTCACCAGAATCATCTCTTGCTTATCCCCTTGGTCTGTTTGAATGGGCAGCAGGGCCTGGTCCTTTTGAGGCTTATATTTACACAGTAAAAGTAAAAGACAAATATCATCTGCTCCTCTAATTGCGCTCTCTCTCTCTCTCTCTCTCTCTCTCTCTCTCTGTGTGTGTGTATATATATATATATACACATATATATATATACACACACATATATACATGGGGTTTTTTTTGCCTTCCTCTGATCAGCTCCATCAATAGTGATTTACTCCTTTGACTTTAAGCAAGGTTCATGACTCTCTGGCTTCAAATTCCTGATTAAGTGAGCGATAGCTTTTTAAAGACAATGCTTCTAAAGCAGAACGTCTGTTTTCTCAAATAGCTGTGTCTTTAGGCTTGTGCTTTGGGGATTTCCTATGGTGCCTCATCTGAAGACTTCGAGTCCTGTTTTTCCTTTCTCTGTAACACATCCCTTTGGAATCACAGTTCTTGGGAGCTCCGTGCGTCTTCCAAGATATTTAAGGAGACTGACACAGCTGACGATGTCTTCTGTTCATATCGCATTGCAGCTGAGTGTTGGTTGCCTCACGTTGCACAAAAGCTGTCCTTTTGGGTGAGTGATCTTTGAAACACTGATCCTGATCGTTCATGATTGATGCTCCCTTGATAGCCACTATATCTATAAGGAGATTAAAGTCAATATGCAGGTCAAATTCCAGCTCAGGTGCTGTCACTTACCTGCCCTCCTGACCTCTCAGTGGGATTTGTTGTCGTTCTGCAATAAGCCGACGGGCAGCACAGCTCTGTGGCTCTGATTTACTGCCACACGGTCATCTGGTCTCCCTTCTCAGGCTGAGCTGTGGCTGCCCAGACACAGCTGTAAATGCTGGTAGGCAGCCAGAGGCCAAAGGAGAGCAAGGCAGCCTCGGGTCGAGAACGACCTCTCCTGTGTCCCAGGCCTTCCCTGCAAACTCCTCTCAGACCTGTCCTGGTCACCTCCAGCCCCCAKAGGCTCTGAGGAGGGCAGAACAGGGATGTATAAAGAAGTGGATAACAGCCAAATACTGTTATTTATCTATGCTCTATCTAAATTTACTTCAAAATAAAAAGCAGCCGATTGATGTGAGAGTGGGAGGCAGATCATGTGGAGACCTCCTGGCCTCAGCTGCTGTCACTTGCTCTGAGCTGCTCTCTGGGGCAGGGCAGAAGCAAAGGCTTTTCTCACCCCATCAATCATGAAGAAGTCCGTTTCATCTAGCAGATATTATTATTTTATGTAGTTACTATATTTGCCATGCAAAGCTGCTATTTCTGGCTCGTGTTCCTCTGTCAGAACCGAGGCTCGGGGGCTGCAATAGAGAATGGGGAGAAAAAGATCCAGACAGAGAAAGGGAGGCAGACCTCTGCAGCATGGGTTTTATGGTTAGTGTGTTGGGGTGCTGGAATAGGTAACATCAACCATCCTAGGAGCTGATCACGTAGAAAATGGCCCGCATCTTGGGGAATTGCTGGTGTTTTGTTTGTTTTTGGTTTGCCAGTTTCATACTTTTTCCTTCTGAAATCCGTCAGTGCAGAATGCCCCTCTCTCCTCCCTGTAGAGACTCCTGTTTTTTTTTTCTCTAGTCCTTCCCTTGCTCTTGTACAGGCTCTGTGACTCTCATAGGCATTAAATAGCGGAGGAAATGCAGGTTTTGCAATATCTTTGTGCTTCCTGGATTTTGGGAAGTGAGGCAGACCTAAATATTTTCCATGATATTTACGTACCCATGGAGATGCTCGAAAGAGCCAGGGACATCATGCTCCTGGTAGGTACTCTACTTCTTGAGGTGCTYGGCTGGCTTGTTCAGGGCTTGTAGCCCCAGTCCTAAATTTACAATTTACACCATTAATTTGCTGACTTTGTCCTGCCCCCAGCAGTAAGCAGAAACCCTGATTATCCCTCCTAGAGATGCATTAATTAYGTGTTAGGATGAGCTGATGTGATACAGCTCTCCCTTGTCCTCTGGGGGCTGGCAGGAAGAAGCAAGTGTAACCGATGTATAGCCCTRTGTCCTAAGAAATCATCAGAACCAAAAGAGGAGCGAGAATGAGATCAGGACATAGGTGGAAGAAGATATAGATATCTTATATGTTGGGGGGGGTGGCTATATATGCGCACACTGCTAGAGGACACAGTGCCCAGTGGTGCCTCCTGTGCTTTTCAGTGAGATGGTGAGTGTTTTTTCCCTCAAGGACTGCAGGAGCCTGAGCAGCTATATTGGTGGCTGAACTTCGTGTTGGTTGCACAGGAGCAGAGCAGATAGACCCCCGTTTGCTCTTCCGTCTGCCCACGTGGCAGTAACAGAGGTCTAAGGAGGAGCAATAGATCCCAAAAACGCAAGAACAAGTTTTCTCTGCTTAGCCCCCTGACATTCCAACCCCAGTGCAGGGGTTTCCTGAGGCTGGTGCTGCATCTGGACCAGCAGGTTCAAAAGCTGAGTGGAGACCTCTCCTCTTTGGATGTGGGACAGCCACGTCCTTGCAGCACTGCAGGAGGAATTGAGGTCCTCCTCGGTCTCTGTCCATCTCCACCCCACGCACAGGTGTGCACACTCGCTCCTCACATCTTCTTTGTGTGAGTGGTCTTGCTGAACAAATTCCCAATCTCRTAAGTATTTCCAAGTTAGTCTCTAAAAATAGCTACTGCTAACTCAGCAGGTTTCCATGTCATGGGCTACAAATACTTGGAAAAGTTAGAAACATGTTACTGGAAATAAATTAAGGGCTAAATTCATCCCTACAATAAGGGAGAAAGGGCATGTGTCACCTCTGCTTGTGCCATTCAGAGAAAGGAAATAAAAAACAATAGCCGTGTCCATAAATACCCTTAGGCTGAGGGTTAGGGACACATAGATTTCCTAGCAAATTTTCCATATTTCTAATCTGCCTGACTCAGATTACATTGCTGAAATGTCACAATTGCTACACATTAGCAAGTGATAAGAAGATTTTAACCACTAATCAGACAAGCAGTAATTATGCTGCGTCCCTTTTCCTTTCTCCTTTATTGTTGCTCTAAGAGTTACACTCTCCAAGATCCTTCCTGTGTATAAATAAGAACTAAAATTGTGTCACAAGGTAATAAAGCAAAGTGACAGAAAATTTAGGAGACAAGTCTACAGATGCTCTGTTTTATTAGAGTTTTCTCTTAATGACATATGGGTATTACAAAGTGGGGCATTAGTAAGCGCAAGATGGTATAGCAAAGAGAACATATTATTGAAGCTTGGCATTTTCAAGAGRAACTTTTCAGAGGGTAGATAACTCACTCCCAAAGGAACCCTTTTCCTACCTTAACTTGCAAAACACTGCTTTTAAAAATAATAGCAAATAATGTTTGATGCCTCTCCTTTGACTTCACGGCATGTCACAAGGCTCCAGACTGCGCTACATCTATTGAAGAGCTTGTGAGAAGAATCAAGTGGCCTTTGGTAGACAGAGCTGGACGGAAGGGTACTTCTCAAGTAGACTAGGTCYTGCCTGTCATCCCCCCTGTAACTATCCAGTGTCTCCCTTGCAGATGGGTTGGCTGCTTTCCGTGCTTTCCTGAAGACCGAGTTCAGCGAGGAGAACCTGGAGTTCTGGCTCGCCTGCGAGGACTTCAAGAAGACCCGCTCAGCGGCCAAACTGGCATCCAAGGCCCAGCGAATCTTTGAGGAGTTCATCGACGTGCAGGCTCCTCGAGAGGTGGGTACACAAGTGCCCCAGGGAAGCAGAGCATCCTTCTGGTGCAGCGAGCAGGCCCGTCCGCCCTTAGCTGGGACCTGTGCGTGTGTGTGGCAGCTCTGCCTTCCCTTCTAGGGGTGASGGTGAGAAGCCCTGAGGAGGAGAAYGTTTCCTGTTACTGGAATACTGCTCCTGTCTGCTGCAGCTGTGACTCATCCCCTAGTCAGGGCAACTACAGTGATGATATTTAGTTAGTCATAGCGAGTGAGTTGACTGGCGACTGCAGCCTACATCTCCTAACCTCCACCAACTTCATAGTAGTAGTTTACCTTGAAATACTACTTCTCATCTACTATCAGTACCCAAGCAGGCTACTGGGCTCATTTCTCACAGGACATTTTGTATGAGAACATCCCACGAATGACTAACTTGTTGACTCTCCAGGGAAGAGTGTTTATCTKCTGACTAACACTAAACTCAATTAAACCTCCTCAAAGATGCAAGCGGCAACTCAGAGCTGAGCAAAAAGTGCAGTCACAACTCGAAGCCTGGAATTGTTAAGTCCTCCTTAAAGCCTTGTCAGGCTGATGCTACAGGCAGATCCTGCGTTGTGACATAGGGTCGTGCTACCACGTTGGTAACAGGAGTGCTCTCGGTGGCTCTCCTCTGTACAGCTGCTCTCCCACGGTGATCGGCCAGCTAAACAGCCTGGGTGCTTGTAAGATCATTTTGGGGTTCAAGGGATCATTTTGGGGTTAGAACTAGCAAGGCTTCTGCAGGGCCAACACAAGCATCCTGATTTACACKCAATGCTGTGAGCACCTTGGGTCACAGTTTGCTCCCCAGAGTCCTTAGTGACCATCTTCCTGCTGTTATTTGTGAATTTGGGTGAGATATTTAAAACTGCAGGACAGAAACGGGAYTGGATTAGAAATGTGAGTGCTGCCTGGATGGGGTCTTTCCTAAGACTGTGACCTATTTTTGTGGGKTTTTTTTTTGCATGCTAAAGTGTGAAATGCCCTTAAGTGACTCAGAAAGTTAATCTATATTGCCATCATCTGAGTTAAGGCAAATAGCTTTGCTTGCTAGATTGCTTTAAATTTGGACGCTGGGTAATAATGACAAGTAACATCCTTTCAGTCAGGCTTTAAACAATAGCTGCAGCCAAACGCTGGCTGCTTGCTAGGGAAAGAAAATAGGAAAACTCATAGTGTTGGCTTTGCAAACAGACTGCAGTCATAACACAAGGGTGGTTTATTTTTTAATGTCCCTTTGTAAGTTATTGTAACATGAGGCTGTTATGGGAAAAATCAAACAATTTATTTTATACCAACATAGTTTAAAAACATCTAATAAGATTTTACTTATAGTTTAATCATAGCTAAAAGTTCGTTCACCCTGAAATTGGGCACACATTAAAAAAAAAAGAATAGAGGAATCTGAGGCAACAGCAGAAAGGTATGTTATGACATAGCYTTTTTAGAAGATTTGCTGCATAAATCCATGCTAAGAGCCTGACTAAAAGTAACCTGATTTCAGGAGTGCTCAGAGCAGATARATCTTGTTCAACTTTTGCCAATTTGGACCAGGATTTTTTTTAATCTGGAAGAGTAAGATGCAGAGTTTGGGCACTGTTTTACACACAGATTAATCAGTACCACGCTCTTCTGCTCTTTTCCCCAGGTGAACATAGACTTCCAGACAAGGGAGCTGACAAGAAGAAATATGCAGGAGCCTTCTCTCTCTTGCTTTGACCAAGCCCAGGGGAAAGTGCACAGCCTGATGGAGAAAGACTCTTACCCCAGGTTTCTGAGATCCAAAATTTACACAGACCTGCTATCTCAAACCCAGAGGAGGCTCAGTTAGAGCAGAACTGAGGTGGTGCCCTCAGAAACCATGTGCTTCCCACAACAGCACAACTCCATGTCTAAATGTGAAGCTTCATTGTTGTTAAAAGCAGTGGGATGAGAAGAGAGGGAGGAGCGGGGAAGTGGGTTCACAGAGCGTGATCCAAAAGCAAATGCTCTGAGTTTCTGCGCTTTTTTTTCTTTTTTTTTTTTTTTTTTTTTGTTAGTGGTTGCACCTTCTCTCTGGCCCAAAAAGCATATCATTGTAGTCATCTCTGGGCCATCTTTTGGGAAGGTAGGTTTACAGAAAAATTGCTACGTTTTGGTTTATGTGTAAATAATGCCACTTCACCCCTGTGTCCTTCCAGACATCTCACTGGCTCTCTCTACCCCCTATGTTGGAGGGGGCTGTAAGGGCAGTTCTGAGCCTTGTGTAGCTGAGTACAGTCTGAAGCACCATCGCTCACCCTGACTCCTGGGCTCTGGATCCTGCACTGTGAGGAGGAAGAGAAGGGAGGCCGAGAGAAAGCAAAGACAAATGATTCATGCTGCTCTCCAGGGTGGAGACCAGCAGTAGACTCAGCTCACCTTTCCATTTTGGTTGCACACCTGACAACACCAGCTGCTGCCCTCTCCCAGCCTCTCCGCGCCTCTGACAGGTTTCTATTCCAGGGATGGAGGCTAAATGTTACTTTTGTGACTGTCAAGGAGCTGAGATTTTTCTCTCGAGAAGGTAATCCTAAAAGCTCCAGCTAGACCTAGTCAGGCAAGTCTTCTGGTACAAATGATTGCTTTTCGTTAACRTTATTTATTTGTACTGTAGCTCAGCCTCAAGAGCTCATATAGATTGCAAAGGTTGGCTGTGCTAGGCACTGTACCAAACCATAACACAAAGAGGCTCCAGGCCACCAAAGACATTGCCAGGCTCACTGGCTTCTCGGGAAGAAGCAGCTAGTTATCAGCAAAGAGTTAAGAGAAGGAATGTCCTGTCTGTCCTGTGCTGAGATGTAAGAAGAGCACAAGACCAGTATGCTGTTTCAGAGACCATTTTTTTTCATATAGTACCTGAGCAGCACATGGCAGGGAAAGTGAAAATCACTATTATATTTTTATTATTCACCAATTATTGACTGTTGTTGCCTGCCGATTGCCCACTGTGTATGCAAAGCCGTGTAAAGAAATACTAAAGACTAAGACCCTGCTGCAGGCACTTGCTGAAAAACAGGACCCAGGAACTCATGCAGTGCACAGGATGGGGGGGCTGGGTGTGCAGTGGGATGCAAAGCATATGTTGGCCCTATTCCTATAGCCTGGATAATCTGGCTGCGGGAGAAGACTGTGTGCGGATATCAGCTGTGTGGCAGCACATCTGTGCTGGGCAATAATACTTTTTGTGGTCTGATTTCTATGGAATTGCTTCTCCAGCTTATCAGCTGCCAGATTCTTGCCATGAGGGAAACAGCCTATGCCCGAATTTAAGCCTACAGACCAGAGGTCTATTTACTTAGTCTTATGAAGGCCTGGGAAGTGATCCCATGGATTTTTTCCATCTTTCGTCTTGGTCATCTGTGGATCATAGTCGGTAAGACACTTGTAGTTTACAGTGGTGGGCTTGGTACACCAGAAAACTGGTGATAAAGTTCCAATGTAAAGYGATTAAAGCTGGGTAGACTGAGTACTAACACTAAATGACAATATACRAAAAGTCTGCATGTATGTTATAAGTTTGGAGTCCTGGCGAAAGGATGATGTGCAAGAAATTAGGACATATTTGGGCTTGGTGCTTGGGCTCAGTGGTGCCTTCTGAGACTACAGAGCTACATGAGGTCTACAGAATCTTGAGGATGTGTCCAGAAAGGCAAAACTCGATGTCTGAGCTTCACTGTGCACATGGGGCCAGCTGCTTGCAAGCTTCTTTGCTGCCTGTTTGAAAGTAGAGGAATGAGCAAAGTTCACAATGAAAGAGGATCACACAACACACCTGACAAACATGATCTGGAGGGGGGCAGTGGTCTGGGGATACCTGTGCAATGCCCTGGAAGAGAGCCCTGCAGAGAGGGCTAGACGATTTCTGCTTTCCAAGAAACCCTGCACTGACTAGGGCCATGGAGACAGGCAGACAAGTGACGGAACAGCGGAGGAAGATGGGTTTTGTGTAGAATGAGGACAAGAAATTCAGAAGTGAGAACAACTCCCGGGATTTCCTGATGGCTACAACAGTTGATCCTGTTCAAAATGTGACTCCAGAAGGCCCAGGTAACATCTCTGAGCGAGCATCTGCAGAATTGGTGCGGGTGTCCTTTCAGTCCTGGTCAGAATTCATCAAAAAACTTTGAAATAGCCAATACCCTGTAAAAAACAATCCCCCTGTTTCCTACATTGGCCTGGGRTGCTGCCTTGAGCAGACTCATTCACAGACAATATTGCTACAACTGCAACAGGAGCCATATTCATGCAGGCTGATTTTGGATAAAGGTTTTTCCTCTTATGTTGATGCTAGACTATATTCTTCATAAGAAACCTGCTAGAACACACAATGGAGCAAAATCTACTGTCTAAAGGATATGAGTCTATCAGTTATTTTTGTTGTTGCTCTTCAATTTTCTCTCTCCAACAGGGAAGCAGCCTAGTTACTTAAGGTATTTTATTTTAAAACAACAAATTGGCCCTAGCTGCTGCTTTTATGCCAAATGTCAGTCTGAGAGTTTTAAAATAGGCAACTTCCATCTCTTCCCCTTAAACCTGGGGCTGATTAAGGAAATAATGACTGAGCCGAACTTCGGAAAGCACTGTGTGATGACTAATCCTCATTGAGGACAAATATCCTTTGATTCATCTCTTACTGCTGCGAACGGGATCTTCTTAACTTACAAACCACATTTCTTCCTTCCACAAGTGCATACCTCCAAAAACTTGCTCCTGCTTCAAGTAATGTCAGAGTGTGTTAGCCCAGGAAGAGAGAAAAATCATTCCATTCAGCTCTTTTTCTTCTGCGTGTTTGCTGACATGAACCCAGTCAGCACTAAAGCCTCTTGACAGCAAAAGGGAAGATTTTACAGTTGCATTTTCCCAGTCCGTGAACTTCAGAACTTGTGAAGTCCAGAGGCAGACGCAGAACTTGAACCCGCTTTGAATTTCTTGCTCCTGCCTTGCCCTTTCCGTCACATCTGGGATTCTTTTCATCACTTTTATTGTRCTTGTTGATGTGGTGATGGGTCCCAGCTCTCCGTGCTGAGAAAGTGTGAAGGGCAAAGTCCTGCTCGTCTGAGCATGGGAGGGATGGGGGTGTGTGTGAGAGGGAGTGTGCATGGGAGCCTGTGTATGTGTTATTTAGTGTCTCCCGCTACAGAAGCTTTTCTGGGATATAGATTGCATGTTAGACTAGGAAAATTATGCATAAGTGGCATAAAAAGATATTAGCTAGTATTGTCTTTGCATTGTGTGTAGGTTTGGCTAGTAATAAGAGATGTAAAACTCTGCTAGGCTTCCAATTCCCCATAAGAGCACACGTATCAAACTGAACYGAATGTTCGCTGATAGACACAAATCCAAAATGTTTACATCATTCAGAGCAATAGGAAAGCATACCTCATGCCAGTGCTGGAGTGCCTCTCCTCACTGCAAACCCTGCCCTTGGGCATCTCACTTCTCCCTCCAAACCCTCCTCTCGCCGTCCTGTGCCGGTACAATCCCCTCCTCTTCCTTATCCTCACCTCCTTCAAGCCCTCCTGTCCATGCCGAACCTTCCTCTCTGCCAGCACCGCTTGTCCCTGTGCATCAGCCCTGGCCTCGCATCCTGACCTCTACCCCCAAACCCACTATCCTCGTCTATCCCTCCTCTCTCCATCTCTTTTCACCTTCCCGGACGCTTGTGTCTGGTCTTTCCATCCTACATACTCCCTACTCTTGCTATAATGCTCTTAGCAGCTATCCCTTGCCTATTATGTAAGAAGAAAATGCTCCGCATAATTTCTGCGTCATTTTTTCGTACCAGAGGCTGCTGCAGCCATCTCGATTCTCACTACTGTGTTTTCTCTGCCGCTGTATCCTAGAACTGGTATTAAACTCCATTTTGCTGCTAGTCCCCAATGCTTTTCTCCCGCTGTGCACCCCTTGGCTTGTCTCCGGTATCGTGTCTTTCTCCCCCGCTGGTGCTCCCCGTGCTTCGCGTGCTGGCAGGGTCTGCCTGGGTGAGACGGGGGCTGCGCTCCCCTTCACCGTTTTCTATTCTCGGGTGCGGAGCCAGTAGCTGCTTTGACAGGGTCACAGCTGTGCTTCCTTTTAGCCTTCTGATTAAAAAAATAGAGTGTAAATAAAGGTGTGTGCGTTGTATTTGCTTAGCAGAGGGAGTTGTTTTGCTCTGTGCCCCGCTTTTAGGTTTACAGGGGCTCGAGCTCCTGGGACTCCAGGAACCTAAGCTCACCTGGGTCTTGGTGCAGTGTGTGCACTGGCGGGAGGTAGCGAAATGAGACCAAAGAAGCCTTTTTGGCAAAAAGGTGAAAAGAAAAGGCAGAGCCTGCTGCCGGGGGGACTCGGCGTCTCGGCGAGGGCCGAGGATCATGGTGGGGATCGCTTGCTTAGTGGCCACCTACCTCACATTGGGAGCTCCACCTCGCCAGGATAGGCTCAGGTTGGATACCAGCACCTCCCAGCTGCTCCTGCTGTGATTTCCTTGTTATCCTGAGGCAGCAGCACGAGGGAATTGCTCTCAGCCTGGAGGCCCAGCTCCTATGGCTGTAGATACRGCACCTCCTTTCATCCTTTCATGTGCCGCGTCCCCGGGGAACACCTGAAACAGGACGTTAAACATAAACGTAAAAGAGTAGGTCAGGAGCAGCTCGGCTTTGCATTTGTGGCATAGTGCAGAGACATCTTTATGTTGCTGTGCCAGCGCAGGCAATCCCAGCTTAAAAGGGATGGGGGAAGGATGTGTTTCATGTTGTGATTGGTTATGCAAGAGAATTGGCCTCTGTGGGATTACCAATGATGAAAAGAAAGAGCAGGTAAGGAGTGCTCCCCAGGGGGTGGACTCCCCTTCCTTAAAAAACAAACAAACAAAAATTAAGTATCTCATCACTCTCTAACCTCTCTTCCCCTTCTACAAGCCAAACAAGTCAGGCCCATGGACTTSAGAATTTTCTTTTAAGGCCTATGGCATCTGCATGCGCCATGGGATGAAGGCATCCTACTGGGAGGAGGAGGTTTCAAGGACCCGAGTCAAGAGCCAAATGCAAGTCCTGACTGAGGTACAGTTGAAGATGTCTTCGCTCCTGGGGACACAGGGTTGTGGGTAGCCCGGAAAGGATTTAGGAGGTCACTGATGTGTGGAGCTAATCCAAAACTGAGCCACCAAGTACCTGGACAGAAGGACCAACCCTTAAGACCTTAGGAGAGCTTAGTACCTCTTAACACCCCATGCCATGTTTCTCTTTTAATWAAATCCTGAAGTAGAATAGCATCTACAGTGTGCAGGTGCTACTGATTTTGTTGGATCCGTAGCAGGAGCAGTTGGAACAGGACACAGGCTGTTCAGTYCCATTCCTTCCTATTCAGCACCAAGGGAAATCTCCACAGTTGTCTCGACCCCAGCACCACATGGGAGTGTGCATTGCTCAGCCTGCCCCGGACTGTGTCTTCCTTTAGCAAGAATGGTTAAATAGATCCCGTTTTCTTCTGGAAACACCACAGAGGAATTTCGTAGGCCCTCCCTTTTCTCTCTCCTTTCCTGCCCTAATTCTCTCCTCTGCTTTTATTGGTTTTCCTTTCCATTTACCGTTTTCTTCTCCCTAAGCCTGACTCGGAGCCAAGATGATTTGCATGCATCCAAGGGAAGAATCTCCCATTAGCACTGCTCTGTCTCCCCCTTTTTTATAAGATATATTTAGCAATTGCTTTTGGCTTTTCTTGTTTCTTGGGTTTCTTTTTTTTTTTTTTTTCCTGCTGCTCAGTTACTTTAACAGAGCAGGTGCTGGGAGCGGAAAGAGAAGATTAAAAATACCTGCTGTCAGATACCTCTGCCTCTGCAGATGCGCTCTGGTACTGCACAAAGAGAGCGCGTGAGCTGAGTGGATAACAGCTGCCCCTCGAAACCCTTATTTGTAATTCTAATTTTTATTTCCAATGATCTCTTTCTGCRCTGCTACAAATTTCCTGCGCAGCTCTTTCCTGCTGTGCTCCGTGCAGCACTCCCTGGTCAGCGATCAAGGAAGTTTTGGCAGAGGGCCCGGCCACTCGCAGCGCCGGCTGCAGCCCCTCTGTCTTTCTCCCTGGGCTCCCTCCGTGCGGCTCCCAGTGCCGGTCACCCGCCCTTGTTTCACGGCAGCTCTTCCTGCTCCTTGATGTCTCTGCAGGGAAAAGGTCTCCAAGGCAAAGCTGCCTCTTGAAGCATCCTGTACTAAAGGGCAGCTGGGCCAGTTTTTCTTCAATACTGGTGTGTTGTTGGTCCCTCCATAAATACCCATCTCTGCCACCCTGCAACGAGGCAGGTGTTGGTAACTGCAGGCAGGAGTATCCAAAGCTCAGCTGATGGTACCAGGAATGCTCTTCACCGGCTCACAGCTCTCAATGGCATTTTTGGGGTACATGCACAAAGGTGCTGTGCCTCTGTCCCCGGTCCCTCCYTCCTTCCTTCTCTCATATCTACTTGAGGTGCTGGGTGCTTCTTGTGTTCCAAAACAAGGGCTGATAACACGGGCAGCCGGGCTGGAGCTGCCGGGGGCTGGAGAGCTCAAAGACACAGGAAGCACGTAATCAAATCACATCCAGAACAGAATAAAGACATCGGAGTACGCAGATGTAGCGGGACTATTGCATAACCGTAACGAAGAGGAGGGTATTGTAAAACATTGCGTCCACTGTATTCCCTGCTGGAGAGCCACCTCCTTTTAAGCAAAATATCTCCTTGCTTGCTGGAAAAGGAGAGCAGGAAAGCTAAGACCCTAGGCCCTAGAGCTAACAATGCACATTCAGCCCCTATTGCTGTTGCAGTTTTTCCTGCTATATGCAAACAAGACACTTGAGCTGTTGCTTCCTACGTGCCGTGGCGGGTGAGGACAACGGGTCTTCCCGCTGCTCCCACGGAGCTGGCGCAGGGGTGAGGTTGCTCTGTACGCTGCAACCTCCCCGCCACGGCCTCTGCCATAATGCATGGGTGATTCCCTGCACGCGAGCGCGGGAAGTGCCTTCAGCTCATGAAAAACGTCGGTGCTGGCGGCTGAGTTAACCACAGCATGGGCAGAGAGGGGGATGCAGGAGGGAGGGAGGAAGGGAAGGAAGGAAGGAAGGAGGGAGGGAGGGAAGGAAGGAAGGAAAAGTCCCAGACCCCAGTAGCCTCCCTTTGGTCTGGCTTCCTTGGATTCCCATTATCACCCATCCTTATGGGGCGTTTTCCCTTGCTTTGCTTGGCCTTTCCTTGGCACATTTCTTCCCTCCTCCTCTTCCACCACAAACCTTGCAGAAAGTTTGCGGTGAAGCGCACCCCGCAGGTCGCTCCTGCCACCACGACAGCTCCATCGCTCCATTTGTTGGGGCTGCAGCCTGGCGATGTGACTGGGGCGGTGTGGGAATAACGCGCCCGTTCGCTCCTCTCAACCCCAGGAGCAGCMTCACCTGTGCCCGCTGTACCAGCCGCTCAGCCAGGGCAAAGCAGGCCCTTTGCAGCGCCAGGAGGACGAGGAGCCGTCACCTAGTGGGGTTTAGCAGTGGAATCGCTGCCCCTTTCCCATCCCCATTGCTGTCTGCCGCCTTTTCCTGGCTTGCTGGGAAGCGGTTGCGACTGCGGTGCTCAAGGACGAGCCCGGGCCTCCTGCCGCCTGCTCCGYGCTCCTTGGCGGCACCGGAGCGAGCTGCTGTGGCGCCGGCGCGGCTCGCCGTTGGCTGGAGGCCGGAGCGGCGCGGGGCTCCCGCGCGCAGCCCTCCCACTTCCCCGCGCTATAAAGCGCCGCTCTCCTCGCTCCCCCGGCAGCCGCAGGTGCCGCGCGGCCGGCCCTCAGCATGTGCCGCGGCTGGGCTGCCCTTCCCGGCGCTTGCCTGGAGAGGTAGGAGGCTCCTGCTCGGGAAGAGCGCGGCACGCGCCGCGGGGACGCTGCCGTAACCGGGCACCCCGAGGAAAAAGCTCCCTGCGGTTTCTCCTCAGGGACAGCCAGGGAGGGACGGGCGCTGTGCGAGCGGTTGCCAGGGAGCGGGAGGAGCAATTTGGCGGATCATTTACTTCATATCTCCAGGCACAAGGGAGCCGGGTGCCGGAGGCCCCGGCAGGGAGCAGATGTGAGGGCTGCCTCAGGGGCCCGGTCCCCGCGAGCTGGCCTGGCCCCTCACCCCATCACAGCGTGGGCACCGACATCCCTCCAGCKGCCCCACGGTCCCACCTCTCCCCTTCTTCCCTTGCAGAGCCAAGCATTTCAAGACCCGCCTGGGGATCCTGTTTCACAAACCGGAGCAGGGGCACAAGATGGGGAGCTCCAGCAAGCTGCAGCTGGGCGCCAGGCGGAGGTGAGCACCGCATGCCCGTGGTGGGGAGCCCCACACCGTGGCGACAGGGGCAGAGCGGCGGGATGCTCCCATGGAGACTGCGCTGTCCCGAGGGATGCTCCTGCCCGTCTGTGTGCGGAGCGCATCTCGCCAGCCCACGTCCCACCCAGCCCGTGCAGGAGGCGGGACGCTTCCAGCCCCACCGGGTATAAAGTCAGACTGGGGAGATGAGGCTATTGCACCAGGCGAGGAACCCGGAGCATTCCGGAGGGGTCACTATCCCTGCTGGAGGGAATTGTGGCAGAGGGGCTCTGCAGAGCTCCTGYGTGGTGCCAGGGGCTCCTCTGCCGGTCCCGTGCAGAAGAGGCACTGCCCACAACCACGCTATGGAGCTGAGGTCTCCTGATCCAGTGGGGAAGGCCACGGAGAGGGAAAAAGAGAAAGGGAAGAGGCCCCACAGGTAATGGGGACTGCAGCTGAGTTTCCTACCCAGAGGTGACACCTCTCTTCCTGCCCTGGCTTTTCCTACAGGGGACTGCTTGTAACAAAGCCTCTTTCCAGC